ACTCACCCCCATGTCATCCAAGATGTCCATGTCTTTCTTTCTTCAGTTGAAAAGAAATTAAGGTTTTTGATGAAAACATTCCAGGATTTTTCTCCATATAATGGACTTTAATGGGAACCAAATGGTTCAAGGTCCAAACGACACTTTCAGTACAAACTGCAAACTGTTCAAAGGGCTTTAAACGTTTCCAAACGATGAGTAAGGGTCTTATCAAGCGAAACGATCGCTCATTTAAAAAATAAATAACAAAGTTTAAGTTTTTTAAGCTCAAATGGTCGCCTTGCTCTGTTCTGTGATGCGTGTTTGTGACTCTCTAGTTCGAACTCGTTCATCAAAATGAACAAATCTTCTGTTGTGTCATTTGGTTCATTCAATGAAGAAAATGAACGAATTGACTCGGAAAAAGATCCTTTCATTTTGATGAAGGAGTTCGAACAGGAGAGTATTTATTTATTAAATGAGCGATCGTTTCGCTTGATAAGACCCTTATTCATCGTCTGGAATCAATTAAAGCCCTTTGAACAGTTTGCACTGAAACTGTCTTTTGGACCATGAACCGTTTGGTTCCCATTAAAGTGCATTATATGGAGAAAAATGCTGGAATGTTTTCATCAAAAACCTTAATTTCTTTTCGACTGAAGAAAGAAAGTCTTGGATGACATCGGGGTGAGAAAATTATCAGCAAAAGTTTTTTTTAAAAGTGAACTACACCTTTAAGTGGATAGTTTTCTCTTTTATTCCCCATATTGTATGACTGAAGGTAAATATGCAGTATTTGTAAAAACACTTCAGGAAATTCATTATTTCGAAGATCTGATTACAAGAAGTGTACTGAACACAAACACGTTTTGTTATCTAAAACTTTTTAATAAAAAGAGTGGGAAAAAAATCCACACATATTTAGAAAACATTTAATCTCTCCGAAGTTAAATTACAAAGATAATCTACATCTTTACACATTGTTAGCGGCGAGAACGTCAAGAGTTGTCCGAGAAGACTTGACTCATGACGGCCAGCTTGGCGCTGAACGGCTGCACGGGGCAGGAGAGCGCGGGAGGTTTTCGTTTCTCTCCTGGCTTCAGTGCGATGCTCTCCTGGGCGCTCCGGTCCCCCGACGTCTCCTCTGACGTGTCCGTGGGAGGCCTGAGTGGATCTGAGAAGCTGAGGAGTATGTCCTGTAGTTCCCTGCGCTCGTCCCGGTATCGGCTGCAGCAGTGGAGCGCGGCGGGGTCGAGCGGGTGAGCCTCCGTGTTAAATATGTACCCCCCCGCGCTGAGAACGCAGTCCCCCTGCAGGCCGCCGAGCTCAAACTCGGTGCCCGTGTTGTGAAGGAAGTTTTCAGGATCGAAGAGGAGGTAGAGGTATTTAATGGTCTCGGCCAGGAAGAAGGACTCCATGCGGTTGTCCAACTTGTGGTCCCTTACGTCCTTCACCTTTGGCGGAAATAAAACAGACGAGTGCGTTTAGAGACTGTGCTGGATTCGGTCTCAATATTGCTGAAGGTTTGAGACACTCACAGTGGCAAAACCACAGTTCACCCGGCTGATTTTGTCGATCGACTCGATTGCGTCCCGGCCAAGCTGCATGAACGTCGGGTCGCCGGTGGCCTTGTACAGATACATAGCGCTCTCGATCAACTCTGCGCAACACAATTAGCTACTTCAGTTTCATACAGATTTTACAGCAAAATGTAAACGGTGCCCGTGCAAAACTTGCGGCTAACATGCCTGTTATTTGCAAAGCCATTGATTGCTAAAATGTCGCTGAAGGCTGAAATACTCTACATGACTTTTAACAACAGATTGTAAAACACTACGCATCATACGCTAAAAGATTGAGGATCATACACTACTAGATTTTAAAGTTGTTACAAATACGAACCCAACTAACTCACGCAGAAACATCAGGCTCTTGGACGTTGAGTTGACGTATGACATACATATGACAAAATCTGGGGAAAAGTTATGTAGTGTATTCTGGCCATAAAGCATTGGGTCCCACTTTATATTAAGTGGCTTTAAGTACTATGTACTTATATTGAAAAATAAGTATAATGTACTTATTGTGCTCATGTTGTATTGTAAAACACTTTTGCTGCTATTGAGGGTACGGTTAGGGATGGGTGTGGTGGTATGGGTCGGTTTAAGGGTAAGGGATGGGTCAGCAGTGTAATTACCCATGTATTACATAAATTAGTTACAGCTGTAATTACATGCTTGTATTTTTAAAATATAAGTACAATGTAAAAACATGTATGTACACAATAAGTCCATTGCATCAAATTATTTGTTTCAATGTAATTACATAGTACTTAAAGCCACTTAATATAAAGTGGGACCCTTTGGGGTCACTGAGATCTTTTTTATTTTATTTATTTTTAAAGAGCAAGGATGCATTAAATTGATCAATAGTGACAGTAAAGACATTTATAATTTTACAAAAATGTGTGCCATACTTAAAGGAGTTGTTCACTTTTAAAAAAACGCAGTGTTGTAGTCGAGACCACCTCACTCGAGTCCGAGTCGACACCGAGACCAGAGAGAGTCGAGTCCGAGTCAAGACCGAGTCCATAGAGAGTCGAGTCCGAGACCAGAGACGGTCGAGTCCGAGTCGAGACCGAGACCAGTGAGGGTTGATTACCTAATTGACTTTTATTTACTTAGAGAAATCCTTTTTTTTTTTTTTACTGAATTTACTTAGAGTTTAAAAAATATGATGAGTTTAGGGTAAAAAGGCCACATAGTAGGTGGTGTTAAAAGTAATTTTATTACAATTTGTCATTTGCAGTTGCGCACTAGAAAATCACCAATCACTGGGCCGCGTGTCAATCAATTTAAAGAAATATTTTATTAACATACATTAATAATCATGAAAAATATTTTTAATTGAACTCGAGTGGACTCGGGAATAAGTCCGAGTCCTAAAAAAAAAAAAAAAAAATGTTCGAGTACGAGTCAATTCTGAGTCCAAATGGACACGAGTCCATGACCAAGACCAAGACCATTAAAATATGGTCTCGAGACCGAGTCCGAGTCCGAGTCTCGAGTACTACAACACTGAAAAAACGTTTGCTGATAGTTTACTCACCCCCAAGTCATCCAAGATGTCCACGTCTTTCTTTCTTCAGTCGAAAAGAAATTAAAGTTTTTGATGAAAACATTCCAGCATTTTCTCCATATAATGGACTTCAATGGGAACCAAGCGGTTCAAGGTCCAAATGAGAGTTTCAGTGCAAACTGTTCAAAGGGTTTTAAACGTTTCCAGACGGTGAATAAGGGTCTTATCAAGCGAAACGATCGCTCATTTAAAAAATAAATAATAAAGTTTAAGTTTTATAATCTCAAATGGTCGCCGTGCTTTGTTCTGTGATGCACGTTCGTGACTCTTCTGTTCGAACTCGTTCATCAAAATAATCAAATCTTTTTTCCTAGATAAGACCCTTATTCATCGTCTGGAATCGTTTAAAGCCCTTTGAAGCGACACCGAAACTCTCATTTGGACCTTGAACCGTTTGGTTCCCATTGAAGTCCATTATATGGAGAAAATCCTGGAATGTTTTCATCAAAAACCTTAATTTCTTTTCAACTGAAGAAAGAAAGACATGGACATCTTGGATGACATGGGGGTGAGTAAATTATCAGCAAAAGTTTTTTTAAAGTGAACAACTCCTTTAACTTTTGTTCTTCATAGGATCTTAAAAAAATGTGTCAGGGTTTCCACAAAAATATGAAGCTGCACAACTGTTTTCAACTGATAATAATCAGAAATGTATCTTGAGTGATTTCTGAAGGATCATGTGACACTGAAGACAATTACTAGAGCTTCGATCACAGGAATAAATGACATTTTACAATATATTACAGTAGAAAACAGTTATTTTTCATTGTAATAATATTTTATGACATTACTGTTTTTTATCAAACTAATGCAGCATTAGTGAGACTTTTTTCAAGAACATTAAAATCTTACGACCCCAAACATTCAAACGATAGTGTAAATATAACTTAAGAATGTTACAATGAAATACATTTATTTTTCTCCCATAAACTAACTTTTATGATGAAAAAGATTATACATTTTTCATGAAACGATTTATCCATTGGTGTCAGCAGAGTGAAATATCGACTTCTTTAAAATGTAGACTTTTTTGTGTTTCGCACACCTTCTAGGCTGTAGTTCAATATGATATTCTTTATTTATATCACTTACATATGGTGTATATAGTGTGTCTAAGCATGCATTTTCATATTTATTAACATTTGTCTCAAAAATACTTTTGTAAAATAAATTCAGAGATGGAAAAAAGGCATCGAATCACTTCTAAAGCCACAGTTGATATCGACCCATGTATATATATATATATATATATATATATACACTCACCGGCCACTTTATTAGGTACCCCATGTTAGTAACGGGTTGGACCCCCTTTTGCCTTCAGAACTGCCTCAATTCTTCGTGGCATAGATTCAACAAGGTGCTGGAAGCATTCCTCAGGGAGTTGCCGCAGATTTGTCGGCTGCACATCCATGATGCGAATCTCCCGTTCCACCACATCCCAAAGATGCTCTATTGGATTGAGATCTGGTGACTGTGGAGGCCATTTGAGTACAGCGAACTCATTGTCATGTTCAAGAAACCAGTCTGAGATGATTCCAGCTTTATGACATGGCGCATTATCCTGCTGAAAGTAGCCATCAGAAGTTGGGTACATTGTGGTCATAAAGGGATGGACATGGTCAGCAACAATACTCAGGTAGGCTGTGGCGTTGCAACGATGCTCAATTGGTACCAAGGGGCCCAAAGAGTGCCAAGAAAATATTCCCCACACCATGACACCACCACCACCAGCCTGAACCGTTGATACAAGGCAGGATGGATCCATGCTTTCATGCTGTAGACGCCAAATTCTGACCCTACCATCTGAATGTCGCAGCAGAAATCGAGACTCATCAGACCAGGCAACGTTTTTCCAATCTTCTATTGTCCAATTTCGATGAGCTTGTGCAAATTGTAGCCTCAGTTTCCTGTTCTTAGCTGAAAGGAGTGGCACCCGGTGTGGTCTTCTGCTGCTGTAGCCCATCTGCCTCAAAGTTCGACGTACTGTGCGTTCAGAGATGCTCTTCTGCCCACCTTGGTTGTAACGGGTGGTTATTTGAGTCACTGTTGCCCTTCTATCAGCTCGAACCAGTCTGGCCATTCTCCTCTGACCTCTGGCATCAACAAGGCATTTCCGCCCACAGAACTGCCGCTCACTGGATGTTTTTTCTTTTTCGGACCATTCTCTGTAAACCCTAGAGATGGTTGTGCGTGAAAATCCCAGTAGATTAGCAGTTTCTGAAATACTCAGACCAGCCCTTCTGGCACCAATAATCATGCCACGTTCAAAGTCACTCAAATCACCTTTCTTCCCCATACTGATGCTCGGTTTGAACTGCAGGAGATTGTCTTGACCATGTCTACATGCCTAAATGCACTGAGTTGCCGCCATGTGATTGGCTGCTTAGAAATTAAGTGTTAACGAGCAGTTGGACAGGTGTACCTAATAAAGTGGCCGGTGAGTGTATATATATATATGTATTTCAAATGGTTATATCTATTAACAAAACTCATTTTAAAAATATCTAATAAATAAATATGTATCTGATGTTTTAAAGAAAAGCTCAGGATTGTGATATAATGGTTTAAAAGAGCACTAATCAATGGTTTGAGGACTGCTCTCTTGAGCGGTGTGTTTTATAGATACCTGGCCGCAGAGGGTAGCCCTCGCGTTTGTCCACCGTGTAGCCTTGAGGAATGCTGTAGAACTCCGGGAGGCCTCCGAACTGACGCCAAACGCTGTAGTAGTTATGGAAGGTCTTTGTGGCGCTGGAAATATCACCTATCAAACTCTGACATTAAATAAACACGTGTGCATTACTAGGAGTCACAGAAATCTACTCT